AAAAAAAAAAAGAAAAGGAAAAAAGACTGATGATGCCTTTGTAATGCCAGTGGTTCAATCAGAATTCAAGTGATTGGCAAAGAGATGGATTAGGCTAGTGATTTAATCAAGAGATAGAAATTATGGGTTCTGAGTTCCATCTATTTCTGTGCCGGGCTGAGACCAGGAGAGCATTATGGCTAATGGGAAGTGTGTTTGCATTTGTCATACTAGTTCAATACTTACAACTTCCATATGGAACCCTTATAGGATCCCTATTTTCTGGTTTAAATTCCAATAAAATGAACAATAATAATGCACAACTCAATGTTACCGCGGGATTTGATGGGAAAATCAAGATAAACGACTACAATTTTTCGACTGAGTCAAAGACGATTGGTAATCCTGAAGATACAACTTTAATTCAGCAGTCCACACAGCCGAATGATAGTTCTGGAGTGGAATTGCTTAAACCAAACAGGACGTTAGCACCAGATAAAGCTAAGGAAGTTGGCTACATATTCAATGGTAATAATGAAAATGTAGCCCCGATGTTTGAAGAACAAAGCAAAGATGATATTGTCCCTCTAGCCTCTAACGTCGCATCATCGCCAATGATTTCACCAGCTCCCTCTGTTTCGCTTACACAAGTTAATGATAATTTGACCACTCGGGGTAGTTCTCATAATCGCCATGGTGCCACAACTACTCAGAATGATGAAGTAGCTGTGATCGTCCCTTTAAACTCGAATGCTACATCACAGCCCATGAATTTACCAGCTCCCTCTGTTTCACTTAGACATGTTGGTGATAATTCGACTGCTCTGGCTAGTTCTCATAATCCCTATGATATCACCACTACTCCAAGAAATGGTTCCACTACGACCAACTCCCCGGCTGTGAAGGAAGCGACAGATAGGCCAGTGGAAGAAGTAGTGTCAATATCTGAAATGACTAAAATGATGCTCCGGAGTCATCCCTCGAGCCTTCTAACGGTACGTCTAGGTCTATGTAAGATAAAGGAAAGCTAATTCATTGAAGGAAATTGTTGCTAATCCCTTTTCTATATTGAATTCTGCCAGAAGCCAATGTGGTCTTCGGCCAGTGATGAAGGATTGCGGAGTGCAAAGTCACAGATCGAAAGTGCAGCCAACATTATCAGTGATCCAGGCCTACATGCACCAGTTTATCACAATGTTTCAAAATTTAAAAGGTACACATTAGTTTACCAGTAGTGGTAGTTCTGGTTGTCATAAATTCGTCTCCACCTATTAAAATTGTCCTAAAAAGAAAGAATTTATTCATTGCTACTGTATCTATATTAGACTCTTGACTTGTCTAGTACTTGATCAGTCATGGTGTCCACACCATGTTCTGTCAGTTTCACTTTTCAAGTTATTTACTTGCATATCTGAAAGAAGAAAGAATTAGTTATCACAAAGTTAATCTTTCCCAAAGAGTAATTATTTTATGTCACTAAGTTGTTCACAAGGTAGGGGTAAGGTCTGCGTACGCTATACCCCAGACCCTACTTTGTGGGTTTGTCGTTTGGGTTTGTTGTTGTTGTTGTTATTGTACTAAGTTGTTCTCGAGAAGACAAATTGGCTTTTGCTGGTTCGGTTGAATCTTGAGATAACAGTATGTTTAATGGATTTTTTCATGAAATGCAGGAGCTATGAGTTAATGGAACGGAGTCTCAAGGTTTACATATACAGGGAGGGAAAGAGACCAGTATTTCATCAACCAAGGCTCAAGGGCATCTATGCTTCAGAAGGTTGGTTCATGCAGCAGTTAAAAGCAAGCCAGCATTTCCTTACCAATGACCCAAACAAAGCACACCTATTTTACTTGCCCTTTAGTTCTCAAATTTTGGGAGAAGTTGTGTATGTGCGCGGTTCTCACAGCTTCACCAACCTAAAAGCATATTTGAAGAACTATGTTGATTTGATCAAGGGAAGATATCCATTCTGGAACAGAACACAAGGAGCTGATCATTTTCTTGTTGCTTGCCACGACTGGGTATGTTTTACGAGCTTTTGATATCATCTATGTTCAATCTATTTCTCTATGTAGAGTTGTATTATATATATCATTTCCAGGTTTCTCTTTCGGAGAATAAGAGTTGTGTATGGTTATGAAGTGTCGTTTCTTCTTCTATTTTAGGCCCCAGAAGAAACTAGGCATGAGATGGCCAATTGCATAAAGTCTTTTTGCAATGCTGATTTGAAAGAAGGATTCAAGTTAGGAAAGGATGCTCCTCTACCGGAAACAAATATTGGCTCAGCTGATCCCTCGAGAAGCCTTGGAGGCAAACGTCCTAGTCAACGAGAATTCCTTGCTTTCTTCGCAGGCAGTATGCATGGGTATGTCCGTCCTATTCTTTTAAAGTACTGGCAAAACAAAGATCCAAACATGAAAATCTTTGGGCGGATGCGCAAGACTGACTACATCCAGCACATGAAGAGCAGTAGATACTGCATTTGTGCAAGAGGTTATGAAGTCAACAGTCCACGAGTCGTGGAGGCTATTTCATATGAGTGCGTTCCCGTGATCATATCTGATAACTTCATACCACCATTTTTGGAGACATTGAACTGGGAGTCCTTTGCTGTTTTCATCCAAGAGAAGGACATTCCTAATCTAAAGTCTATACTCGAATCGATCCCACTAAGAAGATATGTGAAACTGTATCACAATGTGAAGAAGGTACAACAACATTTCCTTTGGCATCCTGAACCTGTAAAGTATGACATTTTCCACATGATACTTCATTCTATTTGGTACAATAGAGTTTTCCAGATTGCATCCTAGCTAGTTTTGTTTATCATCATCTTGTGCTTTGGAAAGGAAAGCAGAGTACATAAATGTGAGCACATTATTTCGATTTATTGCCAAGAAACTTGCTATTAGAGTTTTTTGTTTACGCGATGAGCAATAATGAAAGGATTGTCATTTGGTGATTGATCTTCAAATGAATGTTATATATGAATTACTTACTTTAATGGGCTTTTGGTCTTAAACTAATTTAATTTATGTATTGTTTGTTGGGAATAAACCCCGTAAAAATAGTATTCACGGTATTAGTGATAAACGCAGAACACTAAGTTATGGTTAAATCAGCAATAATAGAAATGCAACAATAATGACACCAAGATTTTACGTGGAAACTCTTCTGAATAAGGGAAAAAACCACGGCCAAGAAGAGCAACTGATATCACTATAGCGAGGAATTTTACACTGTGTAGTAACGAGTAAAAAATACTCCTAAGACCACTACACCCTCAAAAGAAATAAACACTCTTTTGTTTTTTCCACCTCACTACAATATCTCTCACACTCTATTTTTCTTCACAAACTATTTTCTTATAGTTTATGGAATACCTTGCTTTCTCTTTTCTCTCTTTGTTAGTATGTAGAAATGAGAGTTNAGTAGTGGATTTTCTGTTATCAAGGTCACCTGCCATATCAGAATCTGTATAGCCATTCAAAATTGGATTTGATCCTCCAAAACATAAGCATTCACGTGAGCTTCCTCTTAGAGACCTGAGTATCCACTTTACAGCTTCCCAATGCTCTTTTCCTGGATTTTCGAGAAATCTGCTAA